CCAGAACATGTAATTGCAGCAAAACCCATCAGACACAACGTCTACTGCAAAGTGTTACACTTAACAGCCAGGTACAGAAATACCTGCAACTTGCAAAATGTAAAGGGCATAGCATTGCTTTGCGTAAGTGCTACACACTGTGATTGACCAATAAACGCCTACAACAGAAGAAGGCTCAGATCAGAAAGATGATGTGCCCACGAAGCTCAGAGAATAATGCGGTGTGGGACTAACCACAGTTGTTGCAAAGAAACTGACTCAACACAAAGAGGACCTTTGTTTCGGATATACAGCTATAAACAATTCAGTGGATCAACTGACAGTGTAAATGTTTCTCCCAAGTTCATAAAAAGAGTGTGTACATGTCCCTGAGTCAGTCAGATCAGCATATGGGGGAATGAATACGTGACTCAGCCCAACACAGAGTATAAAAACTAGACAGCCAACTATGAAAACTAGACAGCCAACAAAAGAATTTTGAAGACAGCAACAGGCTTGAGCTGGCTTCAACCCACATACTCCTTCCTGGCAACTGAGAATGCTCAGCATTGTAATGGTGAGCATATTACAGACACCAGTTATGGGAATCGCATTGAACTGTGATTGAACTGTATATTGCAATTGCTATATTTTGCTAAGTGTAACTCATATTTATGTTGTGACTTCTGCTGAATCAGAAAACCTATGTAACAACTGTCTTCACATAAGTAAATTATGCATTACATCCTTCATGCACAGAGTATCTAAAGTAACCTGGTCAGAGAGTACTGGACTCTGACACACACTGTGATAATGAAAAATTACCCTGGCTGCCCTGTGACATTTGTAGACAAACATGATCTAGGAATAAGTCAGAGTAAATAAAACCATCTTGTCTTCAAAACACATTTTGCCCAATACTCCAAAACCAGCTGACTTGATAATATGATGGTGCTGCAGAAGCAGAAGTGCTACTATTAACCCTCAGTACTAACAGCTGAATCACTCCTCCATGCCATTTCCACAGTAAAAAGTTTGGCCATAATCCTTCTGTCTACAGAGTATGACCACATTCAAATGCAAAATGCTTACGTTGAAATTTCAGCTACAAAAGGGGAATTCTTTTTGTGTACTACAGAGGTAAGTTTTCCAGTTTCTGCTAACAGATTATAAGTACTTGGAGCATAAGTTTCCTTACTTTATTTTGTCTCTGCAGTGAATCCAACAAGAAGTTGAAGACCAAACAGCAGAATTAACATGCAAGTTAAAAGCCACTGTTAATGTTTTAAACTACGAAGTTTAAGAAAACATTTAGTAAAATTATAAGTCATAAGGTATGCTCTGAAGAAAATAAACTTTTCCTAACCTTAGAAAAAGCAGTAACTTCTCCATATAAAATATACTGATGAATTTAGTCTTCCTCAAGCTATTAAGTGTCCCTCAAGCTATCACTATATACAATTTCTTTCAAACAGTGTAAGAGTACTAGCTATCTTATTAGCAAAAACAGAAGACAAGGTTAGAATTATGTTCCAGCCTTGAGAAAAGAAGCAAATGAAGTGTCAAAATACACAAGATGGCAAAGCTTGGGAAGGCAAAAACAGGGGGAGAAAGAGAAGAAAACAACATGGTAACACCAGATAGACTACACTAGTATGCCACACATCCTAATCAAATAACAGAAAATGAAGTTTTTTCACTGCAGTGAATGTTTCCAAGATGAAGAGAGGTTGGGTGCAGAGGCAGGTGCAGAAGGAGCAACTGTTTGTGACTAGATGACCTTTAAAGATCCCCTTCCAACCCAAACTATTCTATGATTCTATGATGTAACATAATGCATTCATAAGAGGAAAAATTAAGTTTACATCGCCACAATATCTTTGACATTTCCAATACGAGAAATTGCACCAGTGATGAACATGCACTGAAATGGATTTTGGTAGCTGACTTGAAAGTAGAACTGGTAACAAGATTTTCATTCCATGAGGGCATAAATCACACAGTTCAGACAGAAAATAAAAAAAAAGCAGCAGCAGCACTTTTAGGAGCAGTAGCAGGTAATTGGGAAATCAAGTAAAATGGCAAATACTCTGATGGTGGGTGTTCACCAGATCAGTTAGACTGAATGCAGGTCAATAAGGTTCCTAGTCAACTTATTTTACTCACTCGATCAGTATGTGGAAAAACCTTAGGAAAAACCTATAGAGCTCATCCTGGGAGCCTGGCAGCTCCCTTCAACAGCACGTCTGCACAGGAAAGGAGTTGCACCTACACTACTGGCTAAAGAGTTTAAAGGGAAATTACTATGTTAACTACATACAAGGCCAAGGATATAAAGTAAGGCAAAAGGAGGAGTAAATCAGATCTGAGAAAGTGAAACTGGCAGAAACTTGAGCCCAAGAAGAAGGTAACGATCCTCTGATACCATCCCAACACAAACCCACCATTTTGGGAGTACAGTTTTTAAGTGTACACTGTTTAAACAACATCCAGCATTGAAATTCCTACTAAATGTTAAACTCAATCAATGTAATTTGTTCTCACACAACTTTTCAGTTCATTATATTACTCTGCTATGCTGTTTTCTTTCTGATCAATGAAATAAATAAATGTGGACTGAGGGAATAAACAGCAAAAACCCACTTCCACAGAAAACCTGGAAAGGGGTTTTACATACCATGCTTAGCATTATTATTCTTGAGTGTTTCTTGGCTGGCATACAGCACTTGATACATGAAATCAATTAGATGCCAGGATCGATGGCCTGACAGGAAGTACACTGGCTTCTGTTGAAATCACTGGGAAAAAAAAAGATGAGTATTTGACCAGAAACAAAAAATGTGCTCTGGGAAGAACCATATATATTTCACATTTTTGATGTGCAAGTCACTGTGTACTATTCCTTAAAGGTCTTTTGTTATACCTACTAAAAAAAAAAAAAAAAAGGGGCGGGGGGGGGAAGTAGGGCTACTCTTTCTTGTAAGCCCCACAAAAGCTAAGCTAATACTCTTAATACTATTCATGTAGTATGTACTTTGGGTAAAGCCATTACTTCTACACAAAACAGTTAACTGCAGTCAACAAAAATGGAAAACCATTCTTCTGTAACATTCAACAATAACAACAAAAATGTTACAGCACGCTTTATTATAGCATTATTTTTACAAAGGAGCCTTTCTGAGAGTCTCAGAACTCAGGTTTAACAAAGCCCCATGGTGTATAAGGGATCCATCATCACGTGTCAAAACTATACATATGAAAACTTATTTTGTTCTGATGCAGAAGCTGACTGAAAATTAGGAGCTCACTAAAATCCTGCACCTAAGCAGCTGCACATGGAAAAGTTCAAAGAGATTGAATCCCTTTCCTATGGTTATCTATTGAGAGAGTGGCAGAGAGAGGAAGCACCAAAACAAAACCCTCTGACCAACCTCTGTGATTATGCCCTTCAAGGTTTCTGCACTGCAGACTGGAGTCTAAATACTAAATAAGGGACAGACTGCATTACTTAATGCAATACCCAGTTTATCGAACCACAAGAGAAATCTCTATTAAAGTTTCAGTTATACCTAGGTGGCAGATCTGGTCTCCCAGAACATTACACTGGCATGAAATTGGGGAAACAAAGCAAGCTGAGGAGAGCCTGTAAGAATTAGAACAGAAAAAATTGGTACCTGTCCACAAAGGGATTCTTTACTTCCTTCCTTCTATCCTGAGTACTTGGAGTTGTCTCAGCCTTCCGCTTCTCAACAGTGGTACAGTACATCTGTTCTCAAATGAGGTTTTTATAGTAGGATGTGACATTTGTCATAGGTATAGTTCCTGCTTTTTTGCAGGAAACAAAGTCTAAATAGAATCCAGCCTGGGAAAACACTGTTTAAATACTGAGACTAGCATTCAAAGAATCTTTCTGACTTTAACAACAGACAAACTCCATACCAAAAGCAAACACAGTAATTACCCTGAGTAAACTGGTTCTTAGTAGCCACTGTCTGAAGCTTTTTAACTATAATGAATACCAATGTCTATGGACTGCTAACCATTTACTAGGTTGTTCTTGAACTGCTGACATAATTTCAAATGTATAACGTGGCAATGGCTGGACTTCGTTGGACTGGCCTCACTCCAGTAAACACTGCACTAGAAGTGAATAAGTGGATAAATTTAAAATTGTTCTTTGGCAGAGAATGGATAATCAAATATTCCTTCAGGCTATCATTAGTCGGCTAACTCAGATGGCCTGCATAGTCCACAGCTTGTCTATAGAGTGGTGCACAGCATGTCTGTGCCTGCATCACCATCTCTGAGATGTCACTGTGGAAACAAAGAGCCTCGGTTCCTAACTCAAAGCTATCACAGCATCACAGGACAATTTGGGTTGGAAAGGACCTCAGGATATTTGTAGTCCAACCTCTTTCTCAAAGCAGGGTGACTATGAGATTAGACCCAGTTGCTCAGGGTTGTATACAAAAGGAATGTGAAAACCTCCAAAGATGGAGACAGCATAACCTCTCTGGGCACTAAGTTGCAATGCTTACTTGTCCTCTTCATCAGTAAGTAATGAATGCATTAGAGTAAAACAGAAGCCTACCCCTTACAAGCGATTTCATTCCTTAGCAGGTACACTATGTGAATGAGACCCAGCAGGGCAAACCAGTAAGAAGGTACCAAAACTGAGATTATTTACATACTTTTCAGCCAACCAGAATTATGTGCCAAACAGCTGTTCTTTTGAAATCTGAAGGGAAAATGCACGAAAGGATGCCTTTGAAACAAACTGCGAAGCTGACCTAAAATTCCAACCCATGCACAAAAGGGCTGAAGTGCTGTAGCAGAAGTTCGCAGTACAATTTCTCAGGAACAATTAACTGATGTTGGAAGAGAGAAGTTAGATTTGTCAGAAGAAAAAAAAATTCTGCAACAATCCAACGTACTCTTAAAAAAACCCAAGCTAACTACGGAAAAAGCCCATGATCCACAAGCAAAACACGACACACAGGGACAAGCCAATTTAACCTTACCTCAGCCTCACAAAGTGCCTGAAGACCCTGTAACACTATGGCAGCAGGTGAAGCTTGATCAGGTTTTGTGCATTCATTTAATACCTGGGAAATTGCAGCCAACATGTCTGCTCCATGCTGGTACGGTCTAAAGGAAAAAACATGAAGATACAAGGCAATATTTATCCATACACACAAGCTCTATTCTATACGCAAAAAATTTATTAAGTATTTATGAAAGGAAGATCATGCTTGATCAATCTGATCTCCTTCTATGACAAAGTGACCCGCTTAGTAAATAAGGGAAAGGCTGTGGATGTCATCTACCTAGATTTTAGTAAAGCCTTTGACCCGGTCTCCCACAGCATCCTCCTAAAGAAACTGGCTGCCTGCAGCTTAGATAGGTGGACTCTTCGATGGGGAAAAAACTGGCTGGATGGCCGGACCCAGAGTTGTGGTCAATGGAGATAAATCCAGTTGGCGGCTGGTTACTAGTGGTGTTCCCCAGGGTTCAGGTTTGGGGTCGGTGCTGTTTAGTATCTTTACAGATGATCTGGATGAGGGGATTGAGTGCACCCTCAGTAAATTTGCAGATGACACCAAGTTGGGTGGGAGTGTTGATCTGCTGGAGGGTAGCAAGGCTCTGCAGAGGGACCTGGACAGGATGGATAGATGGGCCGAGACCAGTGGCATGAGGTTCAACAAGAACAAGTGCTGGGTCCTGCACTTTGGCCACAAAAACCCCATTGCAGTGTTACAGGCTGGGGGAGAGTGGTTAGAAAGCTAAAAAGACCTGGAGGTGTTGGTCGACGGCAGGCTGAACATGAGCCAGCAGTGTGCCCAGGTGGCCAAGAAGGCCAACAGCATCCTGGCCTGTATCAGAAACAGTGTGGCCAGCAGGACTAAGGAAGTCATCATCACTCTGTGCTTGGTCCAGGTGAGGCCCCACCTCAAGTATGGTGTCCATTTCTGGGCCTCGCACTTCAAGAAAGACACCGAGGTGCTGGAGCGAGTCCAGAGAAGGGCAACGAAGCTGGTAAAGGGCCTGGAGGGTAAGTCTGAAGAAACTGGGATTTAGTCTGGAGAAGAGGAGGCTGAGGGGAGACCTGATCGCTCTCTACAACTACCTGAAAGGAGGCTGTAGCAAGGTGGGGATTGGTCTCTCCTCCCCGGTAACTAGCGATAGGACTAGAGGGAATGGTCTCAAGTTGCGCCAGGGGAAGCTCAGGTTGGAGATTAGGTAGAACTTCACCGTAAGAGTCGTTAAGCATTGGAACAGGCTCCCCAGGGAGATGGTGGACTCACCATCCCTGGAGGTGTTCAAAAAACGTTTAGATGTGGCGCTTCAAGACATGGTTTAGTGGGTTTAGCGGGCATGGTGGCATTGGGTATACGGCTGGACTTGATGATCTTTGAGGTCTATTTCAACCACACTGATTCTATGATAGTCTCAAACTGCACCAGAGGAAGTTCAGACTACAAACGAGGAAGCATTTCTTCACAGGAAGGGTCATTAGGCATTGGAATGGGCTGCCAGGGAGGTGGTGGAGTCACCAGCCCTGGAGGTGTTTAAGAAAAGACTGGATGTGGCACTTAGTGCCACGGTCTGGTTGACATGGTGGTCTTAGGGCTAAGTTTGAACTCGATGATCCCTGAGGTTTCTTCCAACCAAATAGATTCTGTGATTCTATTGGTTTCATTTAAATGACAACTAGAACAGACTAAAGCTGGGAGGGAAAAAAAAGTATGCAAGGGAGGACATGCTAGAGAGCTCTAAAGGCTGAGTGACATGGAGAATTAAATCAGCAGGCATCATTGTCCAAGTAAAAGATCATCAAGTGGTTAAGCTGTGGAAGTTTTCGTCCAAGAATGTTATGTATGCTAAAATATGACATCATTCAAGGTGACTGAGAAGGAAAATCCACATGTGCTATTAAAGACACTATACTTTGCTTCTTTGTTGCAGTTTTTTATAAGTACTCTGTAAGTTTTCTATAACTAAGTATTCTATAACTAAGTACTGTGTATTGGTGGAGATTATGTCAGCAAAAGCCTATTGGCCCCTTTAAATCAGACAGGAACATTTTTCCAATTTTTTTTGCTGCTGCAATGTCATTTGTCTCTCCTTCAATGACTGCATGAGCTGCTTGTTTGCTTTCCAATCTTTAAGCATCAATTCAGCTTTACAGGAAGGTAGTGCAGGAGGTGTCAACTGCTGATTTAGCAGTTCCTCATACTGTTTCTATAAGAACTTGGGGTAAATAGCACCTGTCTAGGTGATTTATATGCATGGAACATTCAGGCTTCATCTATTTGCTCTCACTTTCCTGCAAATAATTTCTAAATGCATGAAGAATGTGCGTACACCTGAACGCTAACTACACCACGTAACTGCAAAAGAATATTACAGCTGTATTGAGATTTATCTCTTGCCTTTCACTTTTTTTTTTTTAAATTTCTTGAAAAATGCTGTTTAGCAAAATTAAAGAAGGTTGAAGAGGTAAAGGAAAGGGTATTTTCCTGAAGAGTTTAGGGTTTTTTTTCAGTTGATCATTGAAAGATACATGGATATTCCCAGTTGTAACTGACCTTTAAAGTAGGAAAGTGAAAAGTAGAACCCAAAAGATAGGTAACAATAAGAAAAGATGGTATTGTGCACATAAACCCAGGAAGTAACTGATAATGTGTTTAAAAATAATCTTTACAGGAACTGTAAATTATTATCAAGTACTGATATTCATGGATTGTTAGAGATGGAAAGGATCAATGTATCAACTGATCAAAGGATCAATCAGTTACACTTGTACAACTGTGTTCTGTGGTCAGTATCATCTCTGAATAAAGACCAGTATTTTGCATGTGACAAAATAACTTCTCAGAAAAGAACCCCATCTTTCTTTGAACAGCTCAAAACATAGACAAATCATTAGTTGTTTCTTCTAATATTTCATCACTCTGTTTTTATAATTTGGAAGTCGTATACTTTAAGTTTCTCCTCTGGATCAGTACCGGATGCATGTTTGTTTCAGGGTGAAGACATTTTAATTTTAACATGATTTAAATATGCTTTCTATGAGTTACAATAGAAAAACCCAAAATTTACTAGCTGCTGAGATTAGCAATGCTTGAGTCAGCATCTCATACAACTGGAAAAATATTACCCACAATCAATATAACAGAGTAGGTAAAAATAATTACGCAGCTCTTCTGAAAAAAATTGTTTTCCCTTACAAAGACATAAGATGGATAACACTTGCACTTACCTCTCTCTACATATATCTCTTATACAAGCAGCTTTAGCAATCAGCTTTTCCCATTGAGCATCTTTGTCAACAGACAAAGCAGGCGTATCAGACATCACCAAGAACTTCTGCAATTGTGGGTAAATTCGATCCTAGAAAAGATTATTTAAAAATTATCATCACATCTACAAAAGTTGGTGACAGGATTTCCAACTGCTAGCACCTCTACGTGACTTCTAAATATCACTTTTATTGCATCCTATACTGTGCTTTTCTTCGTTCGTGGAATCTAATGCTGCACTAAGATCTAACTGGCTTTTGCAGAACAAATCTCTTTCTGCTACTTTAGAAACAGAAAAGCAAATTACTGCCATGTAACTAATGTCTTGTCCTTACTGCACGTTATGAAAAGCAGAAAGCTGCTCTTCAAACAACTTATTTTTCCTAATTCCAGTCTGACACCTGATGAAAAGCAGGTTTCATGAAAGACATACTACTGAAATTTTTCACTAAATCAGAATCAATACAGCCACCGCTCCCACCGTTTACTTTAAACTGCTGGTAATGAGATACTAGTATAAGCAATGTTCCACAATTAATTTCCTTCCTTGGTTAAAGGTAATGAAGTTTTTCAACTCATTTATCTTACTGACACTACAAGAATTGTCTAACCTGTCTTTCCCATAAGGATGTCATCAGCCGCAAGGTAATTGCTCTAAGCTTTGGCGTGCTCCCCAGCATTTGTATGGCACGTAGAATCTGAGCTACACAAACCTGAAAGAAATTTTTTAACCAAATGCCAGTGTTATTTTTTATGTCCAAGAACAAAGACTAATCTACAAATCATTATTTTACAACCAAGTACAGCAAGGAGATAACTGTCCAACTGCAATGTCAGAAAGAAACCGGAAGTAATTTTCTGAAAAACTTTACTGCATGAGTCCAAGACTATCTTCTTATGACATATATATAAAATGATGATACAGTGCAGACAATAAAGCATAATGTACATTTCACTCTAAGACAAATGTCATATTCCATCCAAAATATTAGAAAGCTATGCTGAAGCTTACAAATCAGTTAATTTAAGCAAGTTACACATTGCTCAGTCTAAATAATTTTTTATAAATAAATGATCTCTTATTGATACAGTTTTTGTTTTACTAAAAATTTTTCATTCTGACCTTGTGTACACCCAGTGTAGGCAATGTATACAATATATCCTTGTAAAGCGCAGGCTTCAAAGGCCTTCCCAATTTAAATATCAGAACTGGTATCAGATTTGGGACCTAAAATAAAACAAAACCAGGAAATAAACTGGGTTGCCAACATGGTGTCTTACATAAGACAGTGAACTTTTCAGAACATACTAGAAACTTACCTTTTTGCATTATTTTTTCTGCGAACAGGAAAGAGAAAGGAAAATTCTATAGTCTGTAATTTCATAGGACTTATTTCTTTTTAAGCTATCATCTTAAAAGCACCTTGTTATGCATGTTCTACTGTAACCACTGCAATAATCCAATTTCTACAATTCATTTTCACTTTAACTTCCATTACAGGTATGCTGAAAGGAACATGCAATTGAAACTGGTACATTAAAATACATATTAAATCAATGAAGAAACTATTCCAATTCAGTTCTGTCATTACACAGGAATTCTGATGATGCTGCTATCATATCCCACAAAGTTCTCATCTAATACAATATAATTTACTGCATTCTTTAATATATGGTACAAAACTTCCAGAGAGTTGTCCCTGAAGTGACAATAAAGGAAAGGAAACCAACTTACCTGCATTCCCCTTTTATTTAGATCAGATTGTCAGTATTTTCATACCTGTAGATCCTTCATTTTTTTCTAGTGCTCATTCATATCACTATGTTGTAAAATTAAATCTACCCATGATGGTCTTGCTTTTTTTCCCCACTTCATTTTATGGATACTTAAAAGTAATTACAGAGCACTAGTTTTACATTCTGCCTTTATACAGTAGTAATGGTTTTCACTTAGCCACATGGGTTAGTCTTCCACAAATAAAACTTGTGTTAAAAGATAATGCCATTCCCAAGAACAGAAAAGCTAATTAAGAAATTTGGTATTTAGCAGTAGGTAAGTAGACACATCTATTTTTGAGCCTTCTGGCTTTCAGAAAATTATTTTCTTTACGTGGTAAACAGAGTATAGAGTTCTCCATTTCACTTCTAGTGTTTATCTGTGGAGCGAGTCACTCTTGGAAGAGTTTTTTAGAAATTTTAGAAAACTCTTTCAGTAAGTCCAAGATTGGAAGCTTAAAGCAGGAGAACAAATGTGTATTAAATCCCATACATACTGGGCTGAGCTAAAAGACTGAGCAACTCTCAAACCCAATGTTTACAAGATTGGATCCAATCTTTAATTCAATCTATAATTCAGCAATCTTACACCTCTAAAAATTTAACCTGGTAAAGCTGACCCCTTATATGTATATGGGTGGTTTGTACATACAGCAGTTCAAAAAACTATTAATGGGAAATTCTGCTACAACATTCTCTCAAAATGCATCTTTACATGAGTTGATGTCTTCAGATGATAAAGTTTTTCACTGAACAAAGGTCTGTCTCAGTCAAGAGAAACTACAGAGCAAGAATAATGAATAAAAATCCAGAAGCTCTGGGATTTTGCATACTTCCCTCTGTAATTACTGGTTTCAAACTACAGACCCCCAAAAATACTATTTGTTCTACAACACATCACTGTCTTTACAGCTGAGCAATCCAAATTCATGCTTCCAGAAACTTAAAAACTTTGTTCTGGAATCTATATTTAATAGATAACAAATTAACTATAATACATTATTTTTTCTGGTTTTCCAACTACTACTAGACATCTTGAATAGAAAAAATCCCTTTATAAACCAAAATTTCCCCACATTTTTGACTAATTGACTAGTCTCCCTCCCACTCTCTACGTCCTAAGGTTGTGCTCTATCAACTGTTGTAGAGGTAGCCATCATCCCATCAGCTGCCTAGACAGAGGACTGGCTTTACTGTAAATCTTTCAAAGCAAAATCAATAAAAGTGCCTGAGAATTTAAGGTAGTATTCATTTGAGCAGATTTTCACACTCAGGAGCACTTCCAACGTAAGTTTAACAGTGCCTTGCTTTCCCATCTGTTTATTCCAAACTGAAAGCATCTTCTTAGCTAGCACCCTCCCTCCCCTTTCTTTCAGATCTTTAGACTGAAGACAAATTGGGCAGTTTTCCAGCTTTTGTTGTGTGCTGGTTTCAGCTGGGACAGAGTTAAGTTTCTTCATAGTAGCTAGTATGTGGCTACGTTTTGGATTTGTGATCAAAACAGTGTTGATAACACAGGGTTGTTTTAGCTGCTGCGGAGCAGCGTCACACAGCATCAAGACCTTCTCTGTTTCTCAGGCTGTCCTGCTACCAAGTAGGCTGAGGGTGCACAAGAGGTTGGGAGGGGACACAGCCGGGACAGCTGACCCCAACCGAACAAAGGGATATCCCAGGCCACATGATTTGGTGCTCAGCAATAAAACTGTTGAAAGAAGGAAGGACGTTCAGAGTTATAGTGTTTGTCTTCCCAAGTAACTGTTACATGTGATGGAGCCCTGCTTTCCCGAGATGGCTGAACACCTGCCTGCTGATGGGAATTAGTGAATTAATTCCTTGTTTTGCTTTGCTTGTGTGCATGGCTTTTGCTTTATCTATTAAACTGTCTTTATCTCAACCCACGGGTTTTCTCTATTTCACCCTCCTGATTCTCTCCCCCATCCCACTTTGGGGGAGTGAGCGAGCAGTTACGTGGGGCTCAGCTGCCCACCAGGGTTAAACCGCAACATGAACAAATTAGATTTTTTTAAGTTATCTTTAACATAAAAACTGAATGGCAGACAAGCAAAATAGAAATAGGTATCAGAGATACAAATGAGGTAGGATCTGTCAAGCTAAAACTTCATATAAAGCACAAGTATTTCAAAGAGAGTATTCAATTCTCCAGTTATACATACTTTATGACTAGCTTTCTAAATAAAAGCTGTAGGAGCAAGACTTCTTCCTTAAGATGAATTAAAAATTTCTATACACAGGAAATCTAAACTACAAATTGGTTAATTAAACTTCCTGCCATTGCTAAACATGGTACTTACTGTAACCTGTTCCAAACTGGCCCAAATGGACCAAAGAGACCTTTATTGTTTAACTCAACTGCATCTAAAGAGACAGAACAAAGGTATTCTGAGTAGGAAAAGGGACATTTGTCTTCAGTCTGAGCAATAAAACAAGTTGAGAAAATACACTGGGAACAACCTGTGCAATCCAGAAGATCGTTTGATTTGCTAGAAACAATCCTGAAGGAGACTTCTCCCCCAGAAGGAATCCCACAAAAATCTATGGTCCAGAAATGGTATGCCTATTCAACGGGAATCACACAGGAAATGAAATTAACTGAAGGACATACTAGTTTCCAAATTACACATGCCTACAAATGCAGATCCATTAGTATTAAAACAACCTTTTAAATCCTCATCAATTCTAAATGCACCTCCCCTCACTGAGGGAATACCAACAGAAGACATTTGGTTCACTGATGCCTCAGCAAAAAGAATAAATGATAAATGGCAACACAAGGCCACTGCATTAAACATTACCACTGGCCAACAAATAACAGAAGAAGGTGATGGCAGTGCACAAGTAGGATAACTAAGGCTGGTTGTTTTAGCAACATAGAATGGGGCAAAGATCATATATGTAGACTCCTATGCTGCATGGGCTGGTGCTACACAATGGATCTGTCAATGGGAATCAATGAACTGGGAAGCAAACAGATCTCCAGTATGGAGAATTCAAGACTGGCAGTTATTATTAGATATAGCCAGGAAAACACCATTCCAGATGGGGTGGGTGAAAGCACATGCCAAAGACAATAAATCAGTCACACGCTGGAATCACAAGATGGATGAATTAGCTAAAATTAGGAAGATAAGGAGTTCCCTATTTTTAAATTCTGAGTGGTATCTGTTGGGAGAATGGTTACATCAAAAATCAGGTCACATAGGCAAAGCAGCACTTTATTTTGCTGCACAAAGCAAGGGTTGGCCCTTAAATAGAAAAACTTGTGAAGTTATTCTCACAAAATGGTCTTAATGTAAATTAAGATTACAAACAGATCACCCTGCTAAGGCACCACCCCTACATACCAATCAAGGAAAAACTTTGTGGTCTGCATGGCAAATTGATTATATTGGGCCATTTAAACCCTCTGCAGGATACTGATATATCCTCACAGGAGCAGAAGAAATCTGTGGCTTGCTTATGGAAACCTAGTGCTGAAAAGCCAACGGTCAAAATACAATACAAGGGTTATCATCTTGGTTCTCAAGCCTATGTACTCTTGATATCATCCAAAGTGATAACGGCTCTCACTTCTCATGCAAGGAGGTGCAAGAACGGGCAAAACAAGAACTGCAACGAATGTTCCACACTCCACATTATCTCCAATCAAATGGGATGACAGAAACCAGATAACACAGGAAGAAAAAAAATCCGCTTGAAGCTAGGATACTTGATAGATGGAAGCAGTTTTATTTCTGGGCACCTGTTGTACCTTGAGTGTTAAGAAAAAAATAAATCACCTGATTTACTGTGTTACCTAAATCTTTGAATGACACAAGGTAAATCTCAGGCTGATAAGCAGCAATGGACATTCCGTATCTCTAGGGGGGGCAACCATTAGCACTAACACAGCAACCTGCATCAACATTTTTAGGCCCAAAATTATCAGGGAGTTCATGCCTGCTCCTCCACTGAGATACATAAGTTCCCTACAACTGGTAACACAATGTATGAACAGGGAAGAAATGCCTTCCAATAATAATACCTAGAAAATTTTATATGCAGCAGCATGGTTGGAACACCCTCAACTCTGAGGATAAGAGGGTTTTGTTAATTCTTTAAGCCATACCCATCTCTGATAAATGCTGTCAACCCTGTGCTGGACAAAAAGTCTACATAAAACATCAGTAGCGATGTCAGATATGTCATTACAACGATCAAAATCCTTACCTAAGTTCCCTCCTTCCGATCTCTCCCCACAGTGTCTCTTCCTTTTGCCAGAGGCTTGGTCTTACATGACTCCATTTGGTCTTAAGCTAGTTCTCTATTCAATAGGCAACTTCCTGCACATTTCTCAGCTGTAGCTACACTGGACTACGTATATGGCAATCAGACTGAATGATATTCAAAATAAATTATAATAAAAATAAAATACATTCATAATCCTTAGTCACAAAAGCATTCAAACTCTTTAAAGTGAGTCTGCTCAGGCCTAGTCATCATCAGCTGTGACGGGAAATTCATTCCAAGTCCTGTGTCCACATTAATTTTCTAGTTAGGAAGTTTATTCTACACTAAACAGGTATTAAATGAAAGTTCTACAATGACTTTTACATTAACATGTAGTAAACAGATGCCAAGTTCAATTTACAAAATTCTCAGGAAAAGACTAAGCACATGCTACTGCTATAAGGCCAGTTACATATTTCCTTAAAAGTACTGTTCTTTGAAGGGCGTTTGTTTTGAATTGTATATTCAAATTATAAGATTAAGGAAAAAATCAAAATGTTCTAGTACAGCAAAGCTGCTCCTCTCTCCATCTTCCTCATGTAATGGATAAACAATGCCAGGACTAATTTCAAAATTAAATTTATGCTAAATCTTCATCAAAGGCTTAACAGCTCCAAAAAAGCTGATAGGACAATTCATTAGCTCGCAGTAGGTAGCAAGCAGTTCCGGAGAGGGAGA